AATAGTCTCTTTAATTTAACTTGTATCTATGCCAAAGAATTGGGGGAATCAGAAGAGGAAAGGTAAGATAAAAGTTCTTTTCATCCAAAGGACAAACTTTTTCCCCACATGTAATTTAAATTAAATGCTTCTTCTGTTTTGATCAGTCCATTCAAATTCTATAACATATTGTTAAGTTAGTTATCTAAGATCCATCCACAGGGAAGATTTTTGAAATATAAGTAGGCTCAACAAACCGGAATTGTTAGATCAAAAGTATATTTGTTCTTAGTTCTTATTGTGTGTTACTGGCAAGATTCAGATCCCACAGGAAAGCCATGATGAGGCTTCAGCTGCTCTATGACCAAGTCCTCTTCGGATCCACAGGTCACCTCCACAATCCGCTAGTCCAGAGAGGGCTAAACAGGTCCACCGCAAGCCCCGATTCTTCTTTTCCTTACCGGGAGGAGAATTACAGAGTTTTAACAACTCTGAAAACCTCAAATGGCTAGTCGTTGAGACCAGCTGTCATCTTCAGTGACCGGATATCTTGCTTTCGCCACTGGAAGTCTAAAGGATTTCATGTGGCAGTTATCACTATTGATTTGGTCTTTTTAAAGAACTCATTGAACAACAACAAAAATATGTTTGGATGTTTGTAGGATTACATTGAAGGAAAAGCACCTGAAACTGCTATCAGCTAGTCCTGTGATATCATAAGACTAATCAATTTATTTCACTATAAGCTTTCATGGTTTACAAGCCATTCTTTCAGGAGGCTGCAATCCATTAAAGCTTATGCTAAAATGAACTGTTTAATTATAAAGTCACCATAAAAATCCCCCTTTTTGCTGAAAGACATAATTCCCCCTTATAATAATGAAAATAACTATGAACAAAAATGAACAGGTAAGACAGTGTGGTGTAGTGGTTTGAGTGCTGGACTATGACTTTGGAGACCAGGGTCCGAATCTCTGCTAAGCCACAGAAATCCAATTCTAGACTTCTGTGGAAAATTTAGATGTGATATTGTGAAATTGAAGGTTTCACGGCTGGCATCTATAGGTTTTTGTGTGTGTGTGTGGGGTGGGTGGGTGGGTTTTCAGGCAATGTGGCCATGTTCTAGAAGAGTTTATTCCTGATGTTTTGTCAGCATCTGTGACTGGCATCTTCAGAGAAAGATGAAGATGCCAGCCACAGATACCAAAAACTTTACATGTGATACTCTTGCACAGAAAACAGAATTTTCTGTGAGTCTAACTGAAAGAAAGAAGTTGCAAGCATGAGCTTTCATAGATTACAGTCTACTTCTTCAGATACATTTTCTACACAGAAATTGCTGTTTTGCAAAACAATTACATGCAAATTTTGTGTAGAATAAGTCCCGAACTGAAAATTCTTATCAATTTGTGATTCTCCTCATTAGGGTTTCTCAAAACTCAAATAAGACTTTTTCAGCTATTAAAATTTGTTTTGAATATTTTTTTAACCTTAGTGTGGTTGGCTCACATATTGTACAACTTCCCATGTGGGTGCTTCAATTTTTCCTTTCATCTCAGTCCATTACTTCAACATGAAGAGTGGGAGTTGCATGAGTTAAATGTGGCCTGGCCTAGTCTGGTTATAGCTCCATTTCTTGCTCTCAGGTGTGAGTGAATGATTCTTTTCTAGTTTGTAAAAGGTGATGTTCAGTGGAGCTGGAAAAGGAGAGATATGGTCTGGTGTTGTTGTGGAACAAATGTTGATGAGCCTTGCTGTTATTAAAAAGGCTTTATTGAAAGCAGAATGATTATTTGCTAAGCATTTTACAGGTTAATTCTTTCCTGAGAATGAAAAATAATTTTAATAAATATGTATAACTTTTGTTAAATGGATGCATAAACTTTATAATTTTATAATGTCATAGCTCTTGAAATGTGTCAAGCAAGATAAATAAAGCCTTTTTAATAATAGTAAGGCTCAATAACAATTGTTCCACAGCAACACCGAAGCATATCTCTCCTTTTCCAGCCAAGTATGGTGTTTCCTCCTCATCAACTCTCCCTGATTCTCAGTGGAGCTCTGAGGTTTGCAGAAATACAAAAGTTACCAAAACAACCCAGTGAAAACTGATATATTCAGTTGCCATGAAATGTTCATGGGCTGTTATGAAGTAGGAGGACAGGATCCAAAAGCCAGTAGAAGCGCAAATGTAAGGGAGTATTCTGGAGGAGAACAGGACATACTGAACAGATCACCAAAACAGAAACATTCTAAGTTACTGCCAAGTCCTGCTTGTAATTATTAATGAGTACATATTTTTATCTTTGAATTTTGCAATTGCTGAAGAAATTACTAATTATCTGTTTTTATCTTAGAATTCTTTTTGTCATAATTGTTATCTTTATGGGGCAGAGGTAGAAGGGTTTGGGCATCTGCACAATATTACAATGTTACAGGATTTTTTTAACTAAAATTGAAAAACCCTTCTCTCTAAAATCTGGATAAGGGATTTGAAGTCAGGAAGGTGTTAAAAGTATATCATGCTGATACATAATGAGCATTGGAGAAAAAGAGTCAATTTTGATTATGGTAATTTGTCAAACTGTGTATATTGGATTTTTTTTTTTATTGACCAACAATGTATAGATATGTACATTTTAAGCAACATAGTACAAATGAGTTAAATGATAAAAACATGAATATGTTACAATGTCTGCTGATATTAATGAGGGGAACAGAACCATTGAGACACACGAGGCTTCTGAGATCTATTTCCCCCCCAATCAGCAGATGTTTCTTGTTATATAAAAATGTGCTTAATCATCTACATCATTAGTGTGATGGGTGATAACGGCTGCCTAGAAGGGGCTGACAAAGCAACATTTTGGCTTTGTTCTTAAAGGGAGCTGCAGTGTACCTGACTCGAAAGGGGAGCAACAAAGCAGGAGTTGATTAGCAAGCCTTGATGTTGCTCTCATTTTAATGACCCTTTCAAAATGGCTGCCATTGTTTCAAAAGCTAGGATCAAATGCACAGCTCAGCAAGCTGTAAGTATGTCACAGATTTAAATTGCATGTATGCTGTATACAGTTCAGGCTCTGGCTGGATGAGAGTCAGTAGATGCAAATAATGTGGACAGTTAGAAAACTGATTAAACCAATTGTGTAAATATATCGTATCTTGATTTCAGTCAGGCCTTTGACAAGGTCCTGCACTGTATTGCAAAAATGCTAGTAAAAATGTGGGCTAGACAATGCTACTGTGAGGTGGATATGTAGTTCATTGACTAACCAAACCCACACGGTGGTCAGCAAAGGTTCCTTTCCATCCTGGAAAGAAGTGTTCAATACAACAGTGTTCTGATCTGGGCCCAGTGATATTCAACATCTTTATCAATTACTTGGATGATGGGATAGAGGGCATGCTTATCAAATTTGCAGATGACTACATTAGGATGGGTAGCTAATATCCCAACTGACAAGATCAGAATCCAAATGACCTTAACAGATTAGAAAGCTGGGTCAAAACTAAGAAAATGAATTTCAACATGGAGAAATGTAGGACACTACACTTGAGCAGTAAACATGAAATGCACAGATATAGGATGGGTGACACCTGGCTTGATGGCAGTACATGTGAAAGGGATCTAGGAGTCTTAGTGGACCACAAACTGAACATGAGTCAGCAGTGTGATGCATCAGCTTGAAAAGCCAATGCAAAGCTGCATTGAGAGGAGTGTGGCATCTAGGTCAGTGGTTCATAACCTTTTCTAGGCCCTACACCCCTAGGAAATGTATGATGAATGTTCACACCCCCTACAAAAGTAATATCACATTTGAAGATGAAAAAAAATCTAATTTCTCAGTTTTCACAAATTGAACCACATACAATACTGTGGGTGAACAAATTAAACT